TGCAGACGTTCGAAACCGAGCTGGTAGCCTTTCTTGCTCCAGCTCGGGAAGCAGTTCTCCACCAGCTTCCGGTTCCGAACCCAGCGTATCTCCCGTACATGGTGCGTATTCGAAGAAGAAATCGAAGGTGGATCTCCCGGATCGAATTAGGTAAGTTTTACGTTTTTTTTTATATCGCTATGTGCGAAATAACGTATGGAATGGAGAAGATATTTGGGTCGTCAGTTGCATGTGAGGAAAATTACTAAGTGTTCTGTTGCATTCAAGAAGAATCCTTACCTTATCGAGCCACTTCATTGTTATGTTATGAAATGAAAGAACCCTTTAAGTTCGGTTTTTTGATAATTTTTCAATTAGCGCCTGTTCGTTAAACTGATTTGAAAAATTAATTTAAAATTATTCCGAGAATCTGTCGGCAGGGGTTGTTTTTTGAAAGTTCAAAATTTAGATTTCTGTATCCAATGTTTATGATGTTTCATAAAATCCATATCTTTTCTTATAACCGCTTCTTTCAAAAAACACTGAAACGCGTAACTTTTGTATAAACTCGATCTTCTAGTTGTTGAAACCGTGTTTTTACGCGAAAGAATAAACGACTAGTACTTGACCGGTTTTGTGTTTTCTCAGTGTAGCAATGAAATTTGATCCGCGTAAAGTCTAGCCTAAAGAGTAAACGATTCCAGACACTCTCGACACATTTTCTTGTTAGTTTATCCGAAATCGCTCAGCAAAATACTTTGGCTTCCCAGCGTCCTTAAAAATCAATTAACCGAATCCACTTGAACTTGATTTAAATCACCGCAATTTATATTCTCTTCATTATTGATGCCGAATAGTCAAAATCAACAAAGTGGCAAATAAATAGAAGGGAAGTCAGACTACTTTCTAATTGCACAAATTTGCATTTAGATTTGCACTAGTCTGAGAAAGAAGCGCCAGTAACTTAACCGACAGAGTCGTTTGGAATTTTTCATTTTGCAAAACAATTACGATCTTCTGACCAGTTCGATACGATAAAAAACCTTCAATTTTGGCTATCGGATGATAAATTGATACCAATTTCTTGTGAAGTGTATGTGAGAGCTTAAGTTGCTTCTGAAAGATCACATGAGCACTCTAGTGTGGAATTATTCATCTTTGCATCCGTACATAAGGAAACATGAACTACATGCAGTTTGAGCAAAGCCTTTACGACTTTATGCACAGACACTCATTAGTCAACGGGAAAATATTAGATTGTTACAAGAGATCTAAAATTTTCGAATGGAAGTTCGATTTCAATTCAAGAGAAAATCTTTCAATTTCTTCAACTTGAATGTTGTTGAAAAAAATTTCTTTATTTCCTAGTGTAGATAAAAAACACCGTTTGGATTTCTTTCCGGCAAATTGTCCTTATTTATCCAAATAATATTGATTCATTTCGTTTTTTTTATTTAAATTGAAATTATATGCTAAAAATTTCGAAATGACCTTTTAATTTAATCGAAGAAAAATGAGAGACGAGCATTTATCGTAAATAAAGTTAGCAATAATCCATCTTTTTTAAGCAATAGGATACCTTATTAAATTGTACACTCATTTGTTCTAGAAAACTTGTATTTATAATGTTTATTGCATTTTTTAATGTTTAATTTATAAATTGGTTAGCCAAATGCACGCCTAAGAATTATATAATTTTGCCAATTAGTGTGCGTTGACAGATTTTACTTTCTTGCATACACAACAATTAAGAACTGTGCGTTTAATCGAATACTCCTGCATTTTCTTCATCTAAGAAATATTTCTTGTAAATCGCAAGTCAGTTGAAACGAGCTACGTAAGTAAAAAAACATCTGATGCTTTGGGAATATAATTTACGCTTTTCTACTGCTCAAGGAGGCATTTTCAGCGATAGGAAGTAATAATATTATTAACACCGTTCATCCATGTGCTCGGCAATTTCGAAATCATCTCCTATGTGCATATCGTTGGAGCTATGAAAGGAGCACTTCTCCCATACATTTCCATTGGATAACAGGCTAGACGAAACTCCGGATCCATAAAATTCCCACTATTACACCGTACTTATCCTTTCAGGCAAGCTTGTCACCACTATCTAGTTTCGAAATATTCGGCAACTATATTTTCAATAAGGCTTTCCCGAACATGATTGAGTATCGGCACCAAGACGACATTTTCGATGATTTTACATAAAAATAAACGAATCGTTTTTCTTTTTTTGGAATTTGTTCGTAATTTGCACAGCATAGAAAGTTGCAGGTCCTTCGGCGAAACGATTTCAATTTTAAAAGCGGGGTTTATGGAAGTTTTTAGGAGACTTTGTCGAAGAAATTTGTCTGCATGTATAAATTTCGCCTTTCTCTCGATGAAAAGGAGAGAAGTCGGCAAAGTAATCAAAGTTTTCTTGCTTTTAAACGGATCCTTTTTCTTTGCGAATATAAAAGAATCGGTCTATTTACATTCATTCTTATTCGCAAAGACAATCAGTGCAGATTGAATTGTTGTTTAATCACTAAATATTATTTTACATAATAAAAGTAATCATCGGATGTGTAGATTTAACATCCAGCAACATCTCTGCTTTATAATGAAATAGTTTTTTGTGTTTTGTTTTTGTTTTTTTACTTGAATTATCATACATATTTAAGACATACAAACATTTTTCATATTTAGCCCATCTTGAAATAATCAGGTGTTTTTTCTTCGTCAAACTTATTAATCAACACCACTTCCTATATTTAGTGTTTTTCTTATTCGTATTAAAATGCCTAATTTGTCTTATATTAAAAGTTAATTAGGCCGGCAATAATGAATGCAACATGTTATTGTTATTACAATAGTGCCTATCTGAAGAAGATAACCTCAAGGGCAATACGGTTTTTCGTTTTTCTCAGTAACATGCATTTTGTAACCGTTAGTCAATTTGGACTAATTTGATAATTTAAACATATTTTTATATCGTAAAAAAGTATTGATTGAGTTGAAAATAATTATTAAATAGTTTCAAATTGTGCTAAGCGTTTTAATGTAGTAAATTTTACAAACGCGTAAATATGTTTATGCTTTTAGAAACATTTTTATTTTACTATGGTTGGATAGTTTTTTTTTATTCTTTTTATATCCTGCAGTTTAACGGTATTTATATCAAATTTTGACTGATGATTTTTAGGATTGATATCTTAGTCGTATGATTCATTTACTGATTCACTTACAAATAGTTTTCTGTTTGAAAATGCTTTTTTTATGTTATTTATTTTAAATGTAAAATCAGCTTTCTATAAATTCTTAATTGATCATTTGTGTTTGCTTAACAACTAACGAAAAGCTTGAAGAATTATAAGAACAGACCTAAACTAAAGAAAAGAAAGAAGGCAGCTCCTTTGTTGAAATTGTTTCAAATCTGCAAAATTAGAGGCATAAGCCTTAAAAAACGGACAAATAATTGTGTTAATTAGGAACCGACCGAAAAGATGTCTGCGATAGTTTTTAGTAGATGAATATGCGAATTATTGTTAGCTTGTTTTTTGGTGAGTAGCATTATTCTACACATTAAAAACAATTATTTTAAAGTTAAATATCTTACTTGTTTAACTTTTGTAAATCACGTTGAGATGATGGAAATTTTAGTCCACACATATGAAGAAAATTGCTCGAATGTTCGATAATAAGTATTAATAATGAATTTAGGAAACTAAAAGATCAAAAGGAAATCGGATGAGTTTAATGCAGTTTACTTCATCAGGTTCTTCAATTTTACTTCTTCTACATGATGACAAAGCTAAATAATCTCCCAAACAGTTTGAGGTGTTAATTCGATCTCACAATTTCTTGGTACCTATTCAAACTCGCATCCCTTATCTTATACTAGGCCACGTCGCCCACAAAACTGTTTAATTAAGACTGTAAATTCCTCGCGCTCTAACGACACAATAACGTATCGTTAACGACCTGCGTCGTTAACAAATGGATGTTTCAATCCTGATTAGCAATTAAGCTCCGAATTAATCGTCGGTTGATATTGGCGGAGTCCTATTCGGCAAGTGATGTTTTGCATGTTTCGAAACTATGAACACAACAGAAAAAAACATTATTATTATTATCAAATACACTCACCAGGCGAAAGGAAGGGACAGGAAACAATGATATTCCAGGGCTTAAAAGATGTTTCTAGTTATTTCTGTAAATTAAGCTATTCTTTTGTGTTCGCGTTCCAACAGCCAGACAGAAAGATATTCAACCTGCAGCACGCTAATCAGATCTAATATTCCTGATGTGCTTTCTCTTTGCCCTTTTGCCAGCAATATTTGCATATCTTTATTTTGTATCCAGAGAGACAGGTGTTAAAAACTTTATGATGCACGTCACTTAGCTTTTATATTATTAGATTGATGCTCGTTGCAAGGTTCTCCCTTGTGAGGTTGAAACGCTTGAATATGTACGAGAATTTGCGTTTTTTCTTTGCAAAAGAAATCGTTCCATCTGTGGAAGAAGCTTTTGTATTTTCAGCGTTGAACTTTTAGAAAGGGGGATGACAGGTTTTTTTTTAACCAGTTGCGGTCATGCGTTTGGATTTCAACCGGCAAGTGATGTTGGATGTTGATTCCTTCGCTTTGGGTCTTGGTGACATGGTGGGGTTTTCTCTAAATTAACTCAACTTAAATCAAATCGAAATTAAAACTTTTACCCTCTTCAACATATTGGCAAAGTGTCACTTTAATTTTGTATAAACAGGAAAATGTACCGTACTTAATGTAAGTAGTTTCTTGGTGACACTAACTTATTGTTTAATAAATAGGGAATCAGATGAGTGCTTTTTTAAATATTTGCTTGTTTTTTGAATGTATAAGCACTGAAGTCCAGTGCGTTGAAAAATCCCATTTTTTATGTCAAACGTCTGGAAGGCATATATCAGGAAGTTGGCATTTACTAAAAATTTATGGGAGCCACATTTACAAATCGTTTATGATATATATTCTGGCCAAAGATGTAATTGCGTTCCAGCTATTTTTACGAATATCTACATAAAAATCTAATTTCCATAAATTTCAATAATGTTATATTTTATCCATGATGTTAATTATACACATAATAACTAGGCGCTTATCTTTCCGATCGACTATTTACAGTTAAATTCCTAAACGGAGTTATAT